AAGTAGTCTCGGCCCGGGGGCACCCAGGGGCCGTCGTTCTTGGGGGGGTGGTCGGCACAGCCGTTGACGGCGCTGCTGCCCGCGGGGGGCTGGGCCGGGGCCCCCACTGGAGGCTTGAGTTTGGGCTCGGGCCTCTTGGTTTTGTCCGGAGCCGGAGAAATGCTGGTTTTAACGAGTATCTCGGAAGACTGCTGCCTGGTGGCCGTGGCCGCCTGCCCCGCGACTCCCTGCTGCGGCCGGTGGGACTTCAGGTTACTCGGGGCTAAAGTGCTGGCGTCGATCCCGGAAGTGAGGGCGGCCCTGCCGGGCCCGGCGGGGCGGGGCTTCGCCTTCTCGGACGGCAGGGCTTTGGGCTGCGCTGGGAGGGCGGGCTTGGGCTTGGGCTTGTAGGAGTCAGACAGCGGGGGCACGTCTTTTCCCAGTAAAGCTGGCGGGCATCCGGTCCGTCTACTTTGAAGTAAAGACTTGTTTCTATAGCTTTTCTGGATGTTGGGGTTGTATTTATGCACCAGTCTCTGGTGCATCGTTAAAACTTCTGGGTAACAGGTCTTGAAGGTACAAAACGGGCAGGTGTTACTTGTGGTTGCACTTTTACCCAGAGGAACCGCCGGGCACCCGTGGAGAGCCCCGAGGGATAGGTTCAGCGGCTTTTCTTGACAGTCCACGCCTGGCCTGTACTTGCAGTCCGCCGCAGCCTCCGCTCGCTTCTCCTTGTGGCCGACTTCCACGCCGTGGGCCGCACTGCCATCTGGGTGCGGGGTGACGTCCACTTCTGTTCTACAGATGAGGTTGTTGGCCTGAGGTTCAGCTGCTGATCTCTTTTTTAGCATGTCCAAATAAGCAGGGGCAGGATTTTTGCTCGTTTTATCAGCACTGTCATCAGCTGCATTTTTGCTGAAATCCTGAGTATCTCTGTGTACTGGTGAGAGGACAGCGCTGCCCAGAACGTTCTGAAAGGCAGAAGCCATCCCCTTCAGTTGCTTTGCAGGTGGGCTGCCTTTAACATCTTTGGCACCATCAAAACATCTTTTCAAATTTTTGGTTTGCGTACTGTCAGCGGTTAGAAGTGCATCTTCGGTCTCCTGGTTCTTCCCATCGTTCTTGACTTCGGCAGCAACATCGACCTGCTTGTCTTTGTGATGTCTCTCCAAGTGATACCGCAGAGAGGTCTTCTGGGCTGCAGCATAGTCACAAAATTCACATTTGTATGGTTTTTCACCTAAAACAAGAAATGTCACTCTATTATGGAAGTTTATGAAAAGCATCCAAACACAGACCTTTGAAACCAGAAGAATCTCAGACAGAAAGTGGAATTCCTTCCTCTTCCCTTCTTGCCTATTCACCTTCATATCCAGGATCAGTCATGAGTTGATTGTTTTATCACCCTTTCTACACCAAATATTTGAAAATGTGAACTCAGGTCTTTAATTTTAAAAAATTAAAAGCACACTTTAAACTCATCTCATTTAATCTTCATAACAGCCTTACAGAAGTGGGAATATTACTATCCCACTTTTACAACAAAGAAAACTGGAGCACAGAAAGGTTAAATAATTTGTCTAAAGTTGTACAACCAGTGAGTAAAAGATGCAAAAAATGTCCACACAGCCTGGTGAACACCATGCTGCAGCTGCTTCTGCGAGCTAAAGACTACTAAAGACATTCACCCCACCCCAAATCATAAAAAAAAAATACCAAAAAGCTGTGGTATTAAAAAATATTAAAGCAGTTTTAATAAGATGAGAATTAGGATAAAGGAATCAGAAATTAAACCAAAAACTTACTTCAAAACAAGTTTGTTACAGTGACACTAAAGGAGGCAAAATGACAGCTACAATCAACACACCGCATTTATTCTTCAGCTGTTCCAAGGCACTAGCAGAATATCTCACAATAAGAACAAAATCAGACCCAGATCAGGACCCTTTGAAATAATACATGCTGTAAAAAATCTAAGAAGTTCCTTACCTGTATGCGTTCTGAGATGAATATTGAGGTAATAATTTGAACGGAAAAACTTTCCACAATAACTACATTCTCTTGAGGATGTAAGATGCTTTATTTTCCCTCCATCATCATTTTTATCTTAAAACAGAAACAAAAATATTCATGTAAGAAGACAGCTCAAGTATGTGAACAGGGTGAGCTGACAAATATTCTTGATAGGAACATTTCTGGAAAGTATAACATAATTTTTATATGAGGTGTTGGGGTAACCCAAAAACACTAAGAACACACCAAATGTTGTTTTGAGGTTGTCTGCAGTAGGACAGCATGTGTGTGTGTCAGTTTTTTGAGTGTAGCAGAGTTCACTGTTAGAGATTCAGTTCTTCATTTGCCTCTATCACAAGACTACATAACAGACTGAAATGCTTTCCCAGCAAGTCTGAAACGGGCAGGGTCTGACAAACTCAAGCAGGACCTGCATACAGGCTGGAATAACCAGCTTCATCAGAGTAAGTCATTCAGAAAACTGAGCCAATACAGATCGCCAACTTTCCCAACCACCAGAGGAAAAAAAAGTTTTTTATTTTAAGATTAAGCAAGTTGCCACTAGAGGGTAGTAAGGACAACTTAATCTTTACAGAAAATAAAAAGTTTGGCCCTGGGCAAACACCTAGGAAAGTTTGTCAAAATTTAGTAACATTTTGGAAAGCAGATTATATTGTCCACCAGCACTCACACGGGCAAAATGTAGCTGATAAGTCAAAATCTGTCCCCAAATGACAATGGTTAAACTTTAAATTTCACTCTCAGCAGGACGATCGGGACAGTGTATCTTGTGTGCAAGGGAGTAAACAAAGGTCTCCTGGGGGCGCTAATGAATGACTGTACTTCCCACACCAGCCCCCCAAGATCGTCAGAGACGCTACAGTTAAAATACCCACTCCACCACACGAGTATGTTAAGTTCCAGATGAACCTCCACTGGTCGCCGGGCATGTTACATACGTTACAACAGAAGTACAACAGAAGTCAGGTCCTCTCTTTAAATTTACCATAACTGGTCATTTTGCCTTGAAAAACTATAATTTCCAACTAGATGACCTCTTCCTGGCTCCTTCCACATTCTGCAGTCTGGATTTATAGATTTTACTGATTTTAAAAAGCCACTTACAAGCAAAACACGGCTAGCCTCCAGGTACAATAAAGACAGGACTGTATAAATCTCGGTCACCCCTAAACATCCCTGAGGACAGCATATCCACCTCCAAACCTCTACACACTCTAAAATAGCACAGAAAACCCTGGATCTAAAAAGGTGTCATAAAGACTTTTAAAAAACAATTTGCAAGAACTATTACTAAACCTATTTATAAAAGTTAAAAAAATTATTTACTTTGCTTTTTGATCTTACAGGTATATAAATCTACAGAAAGCCAGGCAGATAATAAGTAACAGTAAAGGAAACCTAGACGAGGAACCACACCATAATGCGAGCTCAGGAAGACCCATTCCCTAACCTGGAAGGAACACCCAGCTTTCCTTCTTGCAGTCACACCCAAAGCTGAGTCCGCAGCTGGGTTTGCGCCTCACTGCAGTCTCCTACTTCCAACTCTGTGTCAGGGTTTATGGGATGTTGCGTCACATCCACGAAGTTACGGAATGCCTTTATTCTAACACAAAGGACATGCAGTGTCCACTCTACCTGGTCCTGATCCTTTAGCATCAGCTTTGATTTTGTAGTGCTGCCCTTTAAAGGAGTTTTTATGAACAGACAAGTGAAATCATCCTTGGGAGGTGGAAGGCAAGGGTCGATGAACTGATTTTGTAAACAGGGAAATCAGGGCAAAGAAAGGTTAAGCAACATGGGATGGCTCACAGAACGACGCAGTGGTAGAACCAGACTCCTGCGAGTCCTGGCTCTCCCAGCTATTCTGGGCTCTTCTTCCCGCCTGCCAACTGAGCCTGGGTTTTCCACCCAATTCTTCTGCTCACACCAACTACCCGCAGAATGCAACTGGCCAGCTCATTTCTTTCAGGGTTCTGGGGCATCTCACAGGCCTGACTACCTCCCCATACTGCAGGCCCACGAACAGAACTGATGCTAAGAGGAATCACTTAGAAGACGAGAGGCTGTGTTTAAAGCCATTTTTATGATGTCATTAAGACACTATAATGCGTTTTCTAGATTTCTAAAATCTGAAGATTGTCAGCATGCTGAGTGCTAGGTTTCCTGTGTTCCAGGAAACTCAAAACATCCTAAATATTTGATATGAAAACTACTGCTCTCACATCCATCACATGATCAGAAAGAGAACTGGGCACTGACTTAAGAGAAGATGGGTTATCTGGGCACATTCATCCTGGGACTCATACACTGAGTTCTTAGAGAAAACAACACACAGTCAAGTTACAGTGAAAGACAGCATTTGTTTAAACCCAAGACCACTTCTGTAAACGATGATGTTTCTCCGAGACTAATTCATGTGCTCATCATTCACGTGCTGATTACACACACAGGGGTTTATGAACTCCTCCAGCAGCAGGGTCTTCTATTCAAACAAATTATTACATGGACACGAGAAGCTGCGGTTTAAGTGAAGATGAGCAAGACCTGAACCCCAGGTGGAATCCTCTGCCCGAGATAATGCCCACTGGGATGCAAGAAATACGGCAACAAGCCTTCAGTGAGGGCTTCCACTTCCTATAAATGCCTTTAGTACATTAAAAAACCTGACTGAGCAAATGAGACCTTCTTTCAAACATCTTTGGTATGTTCACATTCTCTTTACTTTACAAACTGTTTTAGTTACTGCACTGACTGTTGAATACCTGCCCGGGACAGAAAGGATGGGGTACCAGGCAGCACCGAATGGCTTCTCTAACAGTAACGTTCCTGCTCTGGCTGATAATCACTCCCAGGACCTGCTGTACCCACGCATGTCCATCTGGAATAAACATAAGAACGCTCTGGCCCCAATAGAAAGGGACATTTGGGGCCAGGTCACTCTGCCGTGGGGTCTGCCCGGTACACGGGAGGATGGCCAGCACATCCCTGGCCACGACTCACGGGGAGCCCGCACTCACCGACCCAGCCGCGACAGCCGAAACTGTCTCCAGACAGTGCCCCTCGTCCACTCGGGACTAAATCGCCCCAGCGAAGGGCACCGCTTTAGGCTGATGCCTGAGTTACAATAATGAGTGACTTTTGTTAGCAACCCAGGAAATCACCTCATTTTTAGAATGGCCAGAAGCCTTTCAAACTCAACCCTATTGTTACAGAAATGAGAAAATGAAGGCCCTGAGAGGTTAAGTGACTTACAAGAGGGTGACACCAAAAAGAGCCAGGACTCCAAACCAGCTCTGCCTCCCCCCAAGCCTGCTAGTGTTCCCGGGGCGTGGTGGGGGGGACACACACAACAGAGCAGCTTACCCAGGGGGAGCCCTTCCGGAAGCCCGTCCTCGGACCCGTCTTCTGAGCCACCTTCCCGGTCGATGGCTCCGTTCTCATCCAGGGTGGGCGGCAGGTCCGGAGAACACGTCCTCGGCTGCCTCCCGTCCACGGACATGGTCGGCGACTCGGCATCGGCCCGCCGGTCCTTCTTGTGCACCCGGGAGTGCAGGACCAGCTGGTGGTAGGTTCTGAAGGCTTTGCCACACTCGGAGCAATGTGTCGGCTTCTCTTTGTTACTGGGTAACTTGGGGTCCGCGTCCCCGGAAGGCACTTCGTTGGGGTGTCTAGGCTTCTCCTTGTCTTGTGAGAGGCCCGGACAACCGCTTTTACTTGTCTTGGACTTTCCAGAACCTTCGGGATGGCTTTTACTCGCGGTCCAAATTTCTCCCAGCTCTTCTTTGTCTGAACACGACTCATCATTGTCAGTGCTCCCTTCCTGGCCCGGCTGTTCCTTCACTTCCCGGCACACGGCGACCTTCCCTTTGGTGGCCAGCTGCCAGGCCTGGTAGGTGGTGAACGGGTCGAGCTGAGGTATCCATTTGGCCGGCTTCCTCGCGATCTCGGGGTGAGATTTTGGTCTTAAGTTTAAAAACTGCAGCAGCTCTTCCCCCGGAGATGGCATTCCCTCCTGCTGAGAGTCTGTCTGTGGGTTGCTGGGACCGGAAGCAGTTTCTTTGGTGTGCATCTTCCTGTGATCAATTAGACTTTCTTTATTTGGAAACAGAAAGCCACAAACCATGCAGATCTTGTAAGGAGATGAGATGGTCCCGGCTGCGTGCTCCTGCACCACCTCGTTGATCGTCATCGGGCTCTCCAGGCCTGGCTGCAGTCTGCTCTTGGCCCCCGACTTGCCCGTGTGGGTTCGCATGTGATTCTTCAGAAACCAGGGCTCCTTGAACCTCCTCCCGCACACGTTACACCCGTACGTGAAAGAGTCCTTGTGCTTCTTCATGTGGATCTCGACGTCGAAAGCGACTCTGAACGTCTGCCCACACACTTCACAGCTAAGTTCTTCGTTCTCCTTGCAGTTCTTGTCCTTCAGAGGTTCTGTTCTCACTTGACCTTTATCAAGAGGACTAAGATACTCGGCTTCAACACGCAGAACGGCGGGCTCACAGAGGATCGGCCGATGCTGCAGTAAGACGTGTTTATTGAGGTCTTCTGAACGTGTGAAGGTCTGACTGCAAAACATGCAGTCCAGGGGCAGGTATCCTTCTATCTGGATGATGCTTTTCTCCTGCGTGGCCCTGAAAGGAACAGCGGTGGCCCCTTTTATTGTCATGGCTTCATCTATCTCCATCTGGGAGCCAAGAGAATTGCCGATAACTTCTGGTCCGTCCATGTACACCAGGAGGGATTGAGTGGGCATGTCTCCTGTCTCTTGAGGACTGTATATAAAATAAGGGTCTGGCTGAGGAATCTCCGCAGCTGGAATAAGGCCACTTGTAGAGACTTGTCACTCACACGCCCAGCAGCCCGAGGCTTCAAAACTAGAGCAAATATTTGCTATAAAAATTCAAAAGAGTATATTCCTCTAACTTCGTATCTTCAGAAGTTTTAGGAAGCTCAGGGATAGACACTATCACTGGATCTCTCCACAAACAAGGCAGACAGACTCCCCGGTGCTTTGATTCAAATATGAGTCAGCACAAAGCATTAGTTCTCTTTGTCTTCATCAAGTGAGTGATTCAGTTGAGCAAGAAGTCAATTCCAGCAACCTGGAGACAAGGGATTTCCAAAACCTAGAGAAAAAAAAAAATAGAAACGGTTAGCTCTGGTCAGAGAAAAGAGGAGGCTGGCCGGTGACTCACAGTGGTCTTGCCCACGTAGCAGAGAAGGGACCTACTGCAACTGCTTCACTTTTAACTAAGACAGCACATGCAGTTAAATATGCTAGTTAATTCAATCATCAGCATTTTATCCAATCAGCACCCTTATCAAATGCTAGAGATTCACTCAGTTAAGAAACTTAAAACATGGTGCTTTAATGATTTAAATCTAAAATGTAAAGTTTCAAGAGAGAGACTGGTATATTCAGCTGAATAGGTTTTAATTGCCACTAAAATGCACATGAGTATCCTTACGAACAGCCTCTACAAGTCTGGAGACTGTAAGAATGGTGAAAAACAAGATGATAATGAAAGCACTTCAGGTCAAATGTTAAAAGCCAGAACTTCAAACTGTCTCATATACAAACAAACAAACAAGAAATATAAATGCCTAAAAGCACACATTACATAGGCCAACAACATAAGCACAAAGAAATGGGAACCTGTCCTAAAATCCCCATTCAAGAAATACACACCACCTCAGAATGGGTGTTCATCTTGGTCAAGGGGAATCCTGATATATTTTAGTTCATGGGATATTCTAAACCTCATTCCACTGCCCAAATCCCGTTTGCTTTCAACAACTTTCTGCCTTCAACAAGCATCAGGGTAGGGCTTCCTTATCCAAACAACAAATAAGGAAATACATACACAAAGCTACAAATCCTCAACATAGCTGGTTCAATATGGCTTAGTCCTCAACCAGGAAAGGGATCCTCTCACTTTTGACCCACCTTCCACAGGATGCACTGGCCAGGTGAAAAATCTATCACTCGACTTAACTCTGCAGGCTCTGACTCAGAAGCTCATCTCCACTCCTGGAGAAGAACTAACCTCCAAAGCCAATACCCTCCACCTATGCGGCTAGCACAGGGATTGTTTTAAAATCGTCCCAACTACTGTAACTGAAGTCAGTTAATTCAACCCAAGAAAACAGTAAGACATGCAAACTATTCCCACCACAGTCAACGTTAAACTAAAAAAAACACAACTTTCCTTCCCTTCTCCCCACTTCCTCAAAGAGCGAGGGCCAGCAGGCTCGGAACAGGAGGACACACTTCTTCCCCTTCTTCACACTCATGAAAAGAAAATTCTCATACTCCTTGTTATCTTTAGTTTTGAATAAACTAGATCTTTAAGCTTTTCTGAAGACTGCAAATCAAAGTTCAGGGTAAAGAAAGAATGGATTAAAATGTTTTATCCTAATTTCTTCGTCTTCTGTTGCAATCCCAATGGGCGGACTACCAGCTCGCCTAGCAGAACACTCCAGCGTCCTGAGTTCTGGTCCTGGCTAAGTCACAACCTTAAAGCTGTCACCCCCCCACATACCTCATCTTTCTCCATCTACGTAATGCGGAAGGTTAAATTATAGGACCCCTGCAGTGTTGTGAAACCCTGTGGTTTTGGGGTTAGATCCACATTTATGAACAGACATGCTCAAAAGAATACTTAATGATTATGCTAATCAAGATGGGAAATGATATTTGGATATGTGATTGATAATTTAGGTTTCTGTGCAGTCATTTACTCATGGGCAACAAATATATACTGAGTGCCCATGTCCTGAGTAATATTTTAACTGAAGAAAGCAACAGGATATACTCTAGAAAAGTAGTTCTCAAACCCTGGCAACACTATTTTCACCAGCCAACAGCTGAATGAGAAATAAAGAAATAATTCAATGAGCTCCACACAAATCTACATGAAATAATTTCAGTTTGAATAAAGATTGTCCTTTATTTGAGGTCCTTCCTACTTTTGAATGCCAAAGTGCTCTTTTTATAAAATGAAAAAGTGGCAAAAGCAGAGTTTGGGTTTTGGTTTTTTTTTTATGTCCTAATTTGCCAAAATCAAAGTCCCCCATGCCAGACCTCAATATTATTTACTTTTTTTTTCTTTTAAAGACTAGTCTGTGACATTTTTCAGTTTGGGGGAACTCCACTTTTCTATAAATAATCTTTCCCCAAAAGACACCAACCCTAAACTCAGTCTCTGGATTGGAAACATCATGTGGTACATCCCTATTACTTTCCCCATGGACTAAAGGCACATACTGGAAATTCCTGTCTTAGAAGAATGACTTAGTTTCAACTTTTATCTCTGAAATGGTCAAATATCTGGTTAAGTAAGTCACCATCAGCTTCCAACACAAGCCCTAAAGGACTGGTAAAGGAGGGCAGTGGGGACATCTCAGGATAAAGAAGGGCTTCAGTTTTGCCGGAAAGGGTGAATAGGATGGCTGCCGGAAGAGGAGAGGAAGGATGTCCTAGGCCGGGGGTGCAGTCTTCTAGTTTTGTCACATGGGGCAGAAGGTCCTCCAAGCAAGACCAAAGGACTTCCTCCAGGAAAGTTGCTGGGACGGATTCTAATCATCACTAACTGTGCCCAACTGTCCCCAGCACTAGACTACCTTGGGTCACAGCGA